ATTTATTGCCTTACCTCCATAACTTGCTACATTTGCACACACTGTATATATATTTTCTGTTGTATTTCTGACTTTATGTTTTTTTTTACCCCATATGTAACTCTGTGTTGTTTTTGTTGCACTACTTTGCTTTGTCTTGGCCAGGTCGCAGTTGTAAATGAGAACCTGTTCTCAACTGGCTTACCTGGTTAAATAAAGGTGAAAAAAAAATAAAAAAAATAAAATAAAAAAAATACAGTAGATATTGGTAGACTATAGTCTAATAGGGCCTACGACTACGTGGTATACAGTAGCTATTGGTAGACTATAGTCTAATAGGCCTACGACTACGTGGTATACAGTAGCTATTGGTAGGCTATAGTCTAATAGGCCTACGACTACGTGGTATACAGTAGATATTGGTAGACTATAGTCTAATAGGCCTACGACTACGTGGTATACAGTAGATATTGGTAGGCTATAGTCTAATAGGCCTACGACTACGTGGTATACAGTAGATATTGGTAGACTATAGTCTAATAGGCCTACGACTACGTGGTATACAGTAGCTATTGGTAGACTATAGTCTAATAGGCCTACGACTACGTGGTATACAGTAGCTATTGGTAGACTATAGTCTAATAGGCCTACGACTACGTGGTATACAGTAGCTATTGGTAGACTATAGTCTAATAGGCCTACGACTACGTGGTATACAGTAGCTATTGGTAGACTATAGTCTAATAGGGCCTACGACTACGTGGTATACAGTAGCTATTGGTAGACTATAGTCTAATAGGCCTACGACTACGTGGTATACAGTAGCTATTGGTAGGCTATAGTCTAATAGGCCTACGACTACGTGGTATACAGTAGATATTGGTAGACTATAGTCTAATAGGCCTACGACTACGTGGTATACAGTAGATATTGGTAGGCTATAGTCTAATAGGCCTATGACTACGTGGTATACAGTAGATATTGGTAGACTATGGTCTAATAGGCCTACGACTACGTGGTATACAGTAGCTATTGGTAGACTATAGTCTAATAGGCCTACGACTAAGTGGTATACAGTAGCTATTGGTAGACTATAGTCTAATAGGCCTACGACTACGTGGTATACAGTAGCTACTGGTAGACTATAGCCTAATAGGCCTACGACTACGTGGTATACAGTAGCTATTGGTAGACTATAGTCTAATAGGCCTACGACTACGTGGTATACAGTAGCTATTGGTAGACTATAGTCTAATAGGCCTACGACTACGTGGTATACAGTAGCTATTGGTAGACTATAGTCTAATAGGCCTACGACTACGTGGTATACAGTAGCTATTGGTAGACTATAGTCTAATAGGCCTACGACTACGTGGTATACAGTAGCTATTGGTAGAGTATAGTCTAATAGGGCCTACGACTACGTGGTATACAGTAGCTATTGGTAGACTATAGTCTAATAGGCCTACGACTACGTGGTATACAGTAGCTATTGGTAGACTATAGTCTAATAGGCCTACGACTACGTGGTATACAGTAGCTATTGGTAGACTATAGTCTAATAGGCCTACGACTACGTGGTATACAGTAGCTATTGGTAGGCTATAGTCTAATAGACCTAAGACTACGTGGTATACAGTAGCTATTGGTAGACTATAGTCTAATAGGCCTACGACTACGTGGTATACAGTAGCTATTGGTAGACTATAGTCTAATAGGTCTACGACTACGTGGTATACAGTAGCTATTGGTAGACTATAGTCTAATAGGCCTACGACTACGTGGTATACAGTAGCTATTGGTAGACTATAGTCTAATAGGCCTACGACTACGTGGTATACAGTAGCTATTGGTAGACTATAGTCTAATAGGCCTACGACTACGTGGTATACAGTAGCTATTGGTAGACTATAGTCTAATAGGTCTACGACTACGTGGTATACAGTAGCTATTGGTAGGCTATAGTCTAATAGGCCTACGACTACGTTGGTATACAGTAGCTATTGGTAGGACTATAGTCAATAGGGCTACGACTACGTGGTATACAGTAGCTATTGGTAGACTATAGTCTACATAGGCCTACGACTACGTGGTATACAGTAGCTATTGGTAGACTATAGTCTAATAGGCCTACGACTACATGGTATACAGTAGCTATTGGTAGGCTATAGTCTAATAGGTCTACGACTACGTGGTATACAGTAGCTATTGGTAGACTATAGTCTAATAGGCCTACGACTACGTGGTATACAGTAGCTATTGGTAGACTATAGTCTAATAGGCCTACGACTACGTGGTATACAGTAGCTATTGGTAGGCTATAGTCTAATAGGCCTACGACTACGTGGTATACAGTAGCTATTGGTAGACTATAGTCTAATAGGCCTACGACTACGTGGTATACAGTAGCTATTGGTAGGCTATAGTCTAATAGGCCTACGACTACGTGGTATACAGTAGCTATTGGTAGACTATAGTCTAATAGGCCTACGACTACGTGGTATACAGTAGCTATTGGTAGACTATAGTCTAATAGGGCCTACGACTACGTGGTATACAGTAGCTATTGGTAGACTATAGTCTAATAGGCCTACGACTACGTGGTATACAGTAGCTATTGGTAGACTATAGTCTAATAGGGCATACGACTACGTGGTATACAGTAGCTATTGGTAGGCTATAGTCTAATAGGCCTACGACTACGTGGTATACAGTAGCTATTGGTAGGCTATAGTCTAATAGGCCTACGACTACGTGGTATACAGTAGCTATTGGTAGGCTATAGTCTAATAGGCCTACGACTACGTGGTATACAGTAGCTATTGGTAGACTATAGTCTAATAGGGCCTACGACTACGTGGTATACAGTAGCTATTGGTAGACTATAGTCTAATAGGTCTACGACTACGTGGTATACAGTGCTATTGGTAGACTATAGTCTAATAGGCCTACGACTACGTGGTATAGCTATTTGGTAGACTATAGTCCTAATAGGCCTACGACTGGACGTGGTATAACAGTAGCTATTGGGTAGACTATAGTCCTGAATAGGGCCGACGACTTACGGTGTAACCGTAGCTATTGGTAGACTATAGTCTAATAGGCCTACGACTACGTGGTAATACAGAAGCTAATTGGTAGACTATAGTCAATAGGCCTACGACTACGGTGGTAATACAGTTAGCTATGTGGTAGGACTATAGTCTAATAGGGCCTACGACTACGTGGTATAACAGGTAGCTATTGGTAGGCGATAGTCCTAATAGGGCCTACGACTAGCGTGTTAACATTAGCTATTGGTAGACTATAGTCTAATAGGGCCTACGACTACGTGGTATACAGTAGCTATTGGTAGACTATAGTCTAATAGGGCCTACGACTACGTGTATACAGTAGCTATTGGTAGACTATAGTCTAATAGGGCCTACGACTACGTTGGTATACAGTAGCTATTGGTAGGACTATAGTCTAATAGGCCTCGACTACGTGGTATACAGTAGCTATTGGTAGACTATAGTCTAATAGGCCTACGACTACGTGGTATACAGTAGCTATTGGTAGACTATAGTCTAATAGGCCTACGACTACGTGGTATTCAGTAGCTATTGGTAGACTATAGTCTAATAGGGCCTACGACTACGTGGTATACAGTAGCTATTGGTAGGCTATAGTCTAATAGGCCTACGACTACGTGGTATACAGTAGCTATTGGTAGACTATAGTCTAATAGGGCCTACGACTACGTGGTATACAGTAGCTATTGGTAGACTATAGTCTAATAGGTCTACGACTACGTGGTATACAGTAGCTATTGGTAGACTATAGTCTAATAGGCCTACGACTACGTGGTATACAGTAGATATTGGTAGACTATAGTCTAATAGGGCCTACGACTACGTGGTATACAGTAGCTATTGGTAGGCTATAGTCTAATAGGCCTACGACTACGTGGTATACAGTAGCTATTGGTAGACTATAGTCTAATAGGCCTACGACTACGTGGTATACAGTAGCTATTGGTAGACTATAGTCTAATAGGCCTACGACTACGTGGTATAAAGTAGCTATTGGTAGACTATAGTCTAATAGGCCTACGACTACGTGGTATACAGTAGCTATTGGTAGGCTATAGTCTAATAGGGCCTACGACTACGTGGTATACAGTAGCTATTGGTAGACTATAGTCTAATAGGCCTACGACTACGTGGTATACAGTAGCTATTGGTAGACTATAGTCTAATAGGCCTACGACTACGTGGTATACAGTAGATATTGGTAGGCTATAGTCTAATAGGCCTACGACTACGTGGTATACAGTAGCTATTGGTAGACTATAGTCTAATAGGGCCTACGACTACGTGGTATACAGTAGCTATTGGTAGACTATAGTCTAATAGGCCTACGACTACGTAGTATACAGTAGCTATTGGTAGACTATAGTCTAATAGGCCTACGACTACGTGGTATACAGTAGCTATTGGTAGACTATAGTCTAATAGGGCCTACGACTACGTGGTATACAGTAGCTATTGGTAGGCTATAGTCTAATAGGCCTACGACTACGTAGTATACAGTAGCTATTGGTAGACTATAGTCTAATAGGCCTACGACTACGTGGTATACAATAGCTATTGGTAGACTATAGTCTAATAGGGCCTACGACTACGTGGTATACAGTAGCTATTGGTAGACTATAGTCTAATAGGCCTACGACTACGTGGTATACAGTAGCTATTGGTAGACTATATTCTAATGTAAATACAAATAGCTTAAGATCACTGCACTGTCTGAGAGGAGAGCTTTACTGTGAGTAGGCTTTTCATTGTATTGTGTAGCTTTACACTACGCTGTATCCTAAAACAAACTTCGATTTGATTAGCTTGAACTCGTGGCTTTACAACCCTGACTGGGTAGTGGCCAACACAACGTTAACCCCCGCCGACTCCTCTCTGGTAAAACCTGAGACTAAAAGGAAAAAAAACATGGGCAGGGTTGGAAGGCACCCGGAGAAGCGGCACCGCGCTAAATGTCCTCAAGGGGGCACCTGTGACCCATATTAGCGGAACCTTCTGCATGACGTCACTAGTACCGCTGCTATCTAAATTGGGGAACCGCTGTTTCTCCTGTCCTTTTCTTACGAGTCCTGAGACGGGTAGGGATCCAAAACCATCTTCCCCTTGAACGTCACATCTACAATCCAACAAAAATGATCATCTACAAGGATATCATCACCGGTAAACTAACGTTTATATTATCAGTACTTTTGTTGTCATTATTTCATAAAAATCACTTTTTTTTTGGGGGGGTCTGCATTTTGTAGTGTGTTTATTGTGGCCTACCGGAAGTTCTAAGGCCTTTCGTGCCAACGATGTGGTGGAAAATACTTTTTAAACTTCGTCGTAGTCCTCCATGGTATTCTGCACGGCGATCCATCCAAGTATATTTTATGAGTACTGTATAACGGAGTAAAAATCAATAGACTGTTAGGCTTACCGGAGTTAGCATTTACCAGCTGGTTAGCGAGGCCTACCGGCATTTGGCTAACTAGCTAGCGTTAACTGGCTAGTTAAGAGAACTAGCTACTAACTGCCCTGTTTCCCAATGTAAACAGCTGATTAGTGAATTTAGCTAACTATTGTGTTAACTAGTAGGCTAGCTACCATGTTTTGGGGGTGCGTTGGCTAATCATTCTGCATTTTCAGGAGATGAGTTATTCACCGAGGTCTACAAAATCACGGAGGCCTGCGACGGCATGTTGTACGAAGTACAGGGGAAGGTACGTTTAGCTAACGTCCGCTACTCTACCGTTTCAATACAGTTACCTTCCTTAACTGTTAGCAACTTGGCTAGCTATTCATCCATTTCACTAACTTAAAAATGCTGGAGGGGTATGAAACATTCTTTGGCAACTTCGGCTCGGGTAAACGGATCTACTAGCTAGCTAGCTAGGATAACGTGTTGATACCGTTGTAGCCTGCTAGCCTAACCATAACCCCCCAACCCCCATCTACCGTTGTAGCCTGCTAGCCTAACCATAACCCCCATCTACCGTTGTAGCCTGCTAGCCTAACCATAACCCCCATCTACCGGTTGTAGCCTGCTAGCCTAACCATAACCCCCATCTACCGTTGTAGCCTGCTAGCCTAACCATAACCCCCATCTACCGTTGTAGCCTGCTAGCCTAACCATAACCCCATCTACCGTTGTAGCCTGCTAGCCTAACCATAACCCCCATCTACCGTTGTAGCCTGCTAGCCTAACCATAACCCCCCATCTACCGTTGTAGCCTGCTAGCCTAACCATAACCCCCATCTACCGTTGTAGCCTGCTAGCCTAACCATAACCCCCATCTACCGTTGTAGCCTGCTAGCCTAACCATAACCCCCCAACCCCCCATCTACCGTTGTAGCCTGCTAGCCTAACCATAACCCCCCAACCCCCATCTACCGTTGTAGCCTGCTAGCCTAACCATAACCCCCCAACCCCCATCTACCGTTGTAGCCTGCTAGCCTAACCATAACCCCCCAACCCCCATCTACCGTTGTAGCCTGCTAGCCTAACCATAACCCCCCAACCCCCATCTCGCCTCCCTTCCAGCTCACTTCCAGATCGGAGGACGTCGACGGTGCTTTGATCGGCGCCAACGCCTCTGCAGAGGGAGGAGACGAGGGCAGTGAAGCGTCCACGGTCAGTGGAGTTGACATTGTGCTCAACAGCAAACTGCAGGAGACCTCCGCCTACAACAAGAAGGCCTACCAGAGCTATATCAAGGGATACATGAAGGCGTAAGTGGTCTTGTCATCTAATCTAAAGCCTGAAGGGGTCACAGAAATGGGCCTTAACAACTAAAAGCTGGATCTCTATATGTAACCCACATCTCTGTTTTAATCGTCAGCTTCTGTTCATGAACTCAAGTAACTTTGTGCCGAAAAGTCATTTACAGTGAGCAGGTTGAGAGTGATATTTAAACTGCAAATAAGACGTAACCGCCAGTCCAAAATCAGTATTTTATTTTATAATCCGCACGTTGACAGCCTGGGCCACCTCTCTCTCTGGTGACTTAATAAATGAGGGTTTTAGTAACTGTGATGCTAGCTTCATAATTTTTTTAATTTAATTTTTTTAAATCACAAGTGCCATGCTCTACCAATTGAGCTACAGAGGAGTGGAATGGTTACAGGGGGGGGACGAATGAATGAGCCAATTGGAAGTGTCCCTGCGCTTTCTGCTCGCCCTGCTATGGCGTCTGGGTGTAAATACCTGTTAAACGACTGGGAGGGGATTTGGAGCAGTACACTTCCAATTGGCTCATTCATTCGTCCCCCCCTGTAACCATTCCACTCCTCTGTAGCTCAATTGGTAGAGCATGGCACTTGTAACGCCAGGGTAGTGGGTTCGATCCCCGGGACCACCCATACGTTAAAAGAAATGTGTGCACACATGACTGTAAGTCACTTTGGATAAAAGCGTCTGCTAAATGGCTTATTATTATATTATTATTCCCCAGGTCGTTGCTGTCAATGAGACTGTGTTCTCAGTCAACTTACCTGGTAAAAAAAATAGGTGCCAAAAAAATGTAATGAACAGTTCACAAGCAGTGAGTGTTTTCTGGGAGTATCAGGCAGCCCAATGGGAGCGTTGTGAATGTAATGTCGGCGTGTCGTCCCCCCCAGAGTCAAGGCTAAGCTGGAGGAGCAGGATTCCAAGAGGGTACAGGCCTTCGTGGCTGGAGCTCCGGCAGCTGTTAAGATGATCCTGGGGAACCTCGATAAATACCAGGTGAGAGGAACGCCTAACTCGTGGGGCTGGGTCCCACATGGCAACCCTTTTTCACTGCGTGGTGCACCACACCAGTCCAGGGTCTGTTATTTGGTGCGCTGAACAGGGTGCTGTTTGGGATGCAACCGTGGCCCGTGCTGTGTATGTTGTGGACACTCGTTTATATATTGGGTTAATGCGTTGAAGTGAAGTGGCCACTGGAACGTACAGTGATGACAATCTTAGGACACCTTTAGAGGCTGTGACCTATGAAACTAACATCTGTTTTTACCTGAGTACGTTGTCCAGTCAGTGGCCTACACTTTGAATTTTGGATAGGGGGAGGGGGGGGGGGGGATGTGTGTGGTTTGGCTCCAAAAGAATGCAGCTCATCTTCCTCCATTGTATGAAACTATAAGTGAACATTGTCTCCTTGTATATGCCCTCTTGAACACGTGGCCTGCTCCTCCTACAGTTCTTCACCGGTGAGTCAATGAACTGTGACGGAGCCATCGGCCTGCTAGATTACCGTGAGGATGGAGTCACGCCTTTCTTCCTCTTCTTCAAAGACGGTATCGAAATCGAGAAATACGTAAGTTAACACCATGATGACGGAGGACTGTCTGGTTCTCTATAGGTGATGGAGTGACAGTTGACAGTACCCGTTGAATTCACATAGGAAATGTCCCAAGTGGCACCCTATTCCCTATATAGTACACTACTTTAGACCAGAGCCCTATGGCACCCTATTCCCTATATAGTACACTACTTTAGACCAGAGCCCTATGACACCCTATTCCCTATATAGTACACTACTTTAGACCAGAGCCCTATGACACCCTATTCCCTATATAGTACACTACTTTAGACCAGAGCCCTATGACACCCTATTCCCTATGTAGTTCACTACTTTTGACCAGAGCCCTATGGCACCCTATTCCCTATATAGTGCACTACTTTAGACCAGAGCCCTATGACACCCTATTCCCTATATAGTACACTACTTTAGACCAGAGCCCTATGACACCCTATTCCCTATGTAGTTCACTACTTTAGACCAGAGCCCTATGACACCCTATTCCCTATATAGTACACTACTTTTGACCAGAGCCCTATGGCACCCTATTCCCTATATAGTACACTACTTTTGACCAGGGCCCTATGGCACCCTATTCCCTATATAGTGCACTACTTTAGACCAGAGCCCTATGGCACCCTATTCCCTATATAGTACACTACTTTTGACCAGGGCCCATAGTTACACTTTCTATGGCTGTTTCTAGTGCTTGTTTGGGTTCAAGTTGATTGATTTTTTTTTTTTTTGATTTGAGAAACGTTGCCAAGTTCTAAGTGTAAAGACACTGCTCCAACATTCAACCCCCCCATGATCCCTTCCCTTAAAGCTAAGGGTAAAGACACTGCTCCAACATTCAACCCCCCCATGATCCCTTCCCTTAAAGCTAAGTGTAAAGACACTGCTCCAACATTCAACCCCCCCATGATCCCTTCCCTTAAAGCTAAGTGTAAAGACACTGCTCCAACATTCAACCCTCCCATGATCCCTTCCCTTAAAGCTAAGTGTAAAGACACTGCTCCAACATTCAACCCCCCCATGATCCCTTCCCTTAAAGCTAAGTGTAAAGACACTGCTCCAAACATTCAACCCCCCCATGATCCCTTCCCTTAAAGCTAAGTGTAAAGACACTGCTCCAACATTCAACCCCCCCATGATCCCTTCCCTTAAAGCTAAGTGTAAAGACACTGCTCCAACATTCAACCCCCCCATGATCCCTTCCCTTAAAGCTAAGTGTAAGACACTGCTCCAACATTCAACCCCCCCATGATCCCTTCCCTTAAAGCTAAGTGTAAAGACAACTGCTCCAACATTCAACCCCCCATGATCCCTTCCCTTAAAGCTAAGTGTAAAGACACTGCTCCAACATTCAACCCCCCATGATCCTTCCCATTAAAGCTAAGTGTAAAGACACTGCTCCAACATTCAACCCCCCCCATGATCCTTCCCTTAAAGCTAAGTGTAAAGAACACTGCTCCAACATTCAACCCCCCCCATGATCCTTCCCTTAAAGCTAAGTGTAAAGACACTGCTCCAACATTCAACCCCCCATGATCCCTTCCCTTAAAGCTAAGTGTAAAGACACTGCTCCAACATCAACCCCCCATGATCCCTTCCCTAAAGCTAAGTGTACAAGACACTGCTCCAACATTCAACCCCCCCATGATCCCTTCCCTTAAAGCTAAGTGTAAAGACACTGCTTCCAACATTAACCCCCCAGATCCCGTCCTTAAAGTAAGGTAAATACATGCTCCAACATTCAACCCCCCCATGATCCCTTCCCTTAAAGCTAAGTGTAAAGACACTGCTCCAACATTAAACCCCCCATGATCCCTTCCCTTGATGTTCAACATACGTGCCACACCCTGTACATTCCTCCCCTCTGACTGACGTGGCTGTTTCTGTGGGCGTCGGCCTGTTGGCATTTCATTGTCATGAGGCATTTAACGCCCAGCCCCAGTCACTAGGCAGGCAGAGAGCCAGGGTGCTTAGTCAGGGGTATATAATGAGTTCAGATAGAAATGGGTGTGTAGAACCGAGGGATTATCTGCCGTGTAGAACCGGGGATATCTGTCGTGTAGAACCGGGGATTATCTGTCGTGTAGAACCGGGGATTATCTGTCGTGTAGAACCGGGATATTCTGTTCTATTCATTCTATTTCTATCTTCAATGGTCAGAATGTTTTTGAATCACTTTGTGTCTCAAATGGCACACCAGAGTGCTGTGGTCAAAAGTAGTGTACTATATAGGGACTAGGGTGCTGTAGTGCACTATATATAGGGACTAGGGTGCTGTAGTGCACTATATATATAAGGACTAGGGTGCTGTAGTGCACTATATATATATAAGGACTAGGGTGCTGTAGTGCACTATATATATAAGGACTAAGGTGCTGTAGTGGCACTATATATAGGGGACTAGGGTGCTGTAGTGCACTATATATAGGGGACTAGGGTGCTGTAGTGCACTATATATAGGGACTAGGGTGCTGTAGTGCACTATATAGGGGACTAGGGTGCTGTAGGGTGCTGTAGTGCACTATATATAGGGACTAGGGTGCTGTAGTGCACTATATATAGGGACTAGGGTGCTGTGAGTGCACTATATATAGGGACTAGGGTGCTGTAGTGCACTATATATAGGGGCTAGGGTGCTGTAGTGCACTATATATAGGGACTAGGGTGCTGTAGTGCACTATATATAGGGACTAGGGTGCTGTAGTGCACTATATATAGGGACTAGGGTGCTGTAGTGCACTATATATAGGGACTAGGGTGCTGTAGTGCACTATATATAGGGACTAGGGTGCTGTAGTGCACTATATAGGGGCTAGGGTGCTGTAGTGCACTATATAGGGACTAGGGTGCTGTAGTGCACTATATATAGGGACTAGGGTGCTGTAGTGCACTATATATAGGGACTAGGGTGCTGTAGTGCACTATATATAGGGACTAGGGTGCTGTAGTGCACTATATATAGGGACTAGGGTGCTATTTGAGACACCAGTCACACCACACACTGAATACAGAGCCCATGCATCCATCTGATAGACCTGAAGTTCCTCCACCGTGACTTCTGGGTTTGCAATTGGATGCTAAAGTAAATCTTCCCTTCACTTTCCCCGACTGCCTGGCTGAGTGGCAGTACGGATAGAGAGGAGGAACACATGGAGGTGTTTTAATATACCTCTGACTGACAGAGTCCCAAAATGGCACCCCATTCCCTTTTCTAGTGGACTACTGTCTCTCTGTGATAGTCTCTCCTCTGACCTCTTTCCATCTCCATGTGTAAGTAACAGTGTCTCCTTTCTCCTCCTATGCAGTAAACCATCTGGACATCCTAACAGAAGTGCCTGGGATCGGAGGGAGCGTGTCTGCTTGTTACCATAGCTACCGTCGCCCCTGATCACGGACAGACTGACCCAACCCTGCCTGCTTGTTACCATAGCTACCGTCGCCCCCCCTGATCACGGACAGAACTGACCCAACCCCTTGTCTGTATCCCTCCAACACCTGGAAACAGACTCGCCTTTCTTTGATCAGGTTTTATTTTTTTGGCCCCAACCTTCTCCCCCCCCCCTCTCCTCTCCTCTTCGTCCCCACATCTGGTCTGTGTGGCGTCCCGAGGGAGACGCCCTGTTTGTAAACTGACGGTCGTTGGACAGGGCCTCTCCTGCCTACCCCCCACCCCACCATGGATGGATGGATTGAACCATGCTGGCTTGGCCCGCTGTGTGCGTGGTGACTTCTATCAGATGTACTGCGACGTTACTCTCCCACCTCGCTCTCTCACACAATTGTAAAGGACTCGTTGACACTAGTTGTGAAATAAATGGGCTTTAACGGCCGGAAATACCACTGTCTTGTGCCATCTGCTTTCACTCTAACACAGTACTTCCCCTTCCATCTCCTCGGGGAACCACCAGATGTCTCACACATTTGGTTTATCCCTGAACCAGGACACACTATTCCACTGGTCCACTAATAAAAACCCACGACTCATTGTACCAGTGGCAGGGCTACAGCAAATGTGTGAAACGTTGTGGTGGTCCCTGAGCAGAGGGTTGGGAAACCCCTTCTCTCCTGCTCTAATGGGATCTGTTGGGACCGTACCGCGTGGATAAACGTTGGGGTGCGTTTGGCGCGGCAGCCGGCTTTTTTAAAGGCCAAGTCGACTGACTGGGATCTACAAATCACCGTGCGTCGTAAATAACTACTCCGATTATTATTTGTACGGTGAGTCAGTCACAATTTACCCGTGATACGTCCTGTTTTGATGCTCTAGTCTAGAACACGACCGCTCGCTCTGGGCTGGGTTCAGCAGGACAATGCTTTGGAATGTAGAAATATATAATAATATAATAATATGCCATTTAGCAGACGCTTTTATCCAAAGCGACTTACAGTCATGCGTGCATACATTTTTTTTTTTGTGTATGGGTGGTCCCGGGGATCGAACCCACTACCCTTGGCGTTACAAGCGCCGTGCTCTACCAGCTGAGCTACAGAGGACCACATATCGTTTTAGAACATTCCTACGACATGTAGAATAACATGTCACATCAGGGGGGGGGGGGCTGTATTTATCAGGCAGCTCAGTAGGAAAGTCTAGGATCAGTTTTAGATCACAGTGAAGATTACGTAGATATGGGGGGGACCTGATCCCAGATCAGCGCTCCTCCTCTGAGACACTTGATACAGACGACCCCCAGTTCTATTTGTGGCTTTTCAAACATTCCAGTTATCCTACTGCACACGCCCGGCCGGGGGGGGACCTTCCACGGTTAGCTGACTGCACACATCAAAGTGTCCTGGGATCAGTTTGATATTCACACATTCGTGGACTGGTTCTACTGGATTTAGCCAGACGAGCCAGGACTTGGAATAACAACATCTAGTCAATGAGAACGCTGCAGCTTGTGTGTTTTAGCAGGGATGCGATGTGACTTGGGGAAACCTAAGTAGCACATTTCTAAAGGGAAAAACAGACTCGGGTACATTTTTACAAAAAAAAACATTTTATTCCATCAGTCATTAAAAACCAACTTGTACATAATTGAGCCTTCGTTGACGCGTTCCGAGCCGTGTGTCTGTAAGCAGAACTCTTCTGAAGGACCGCTGATTGGATGTAACGGTCAGATCCCACACATAGGGAATAAACTTCGGTCAAACCTGCTCATGAATGCCTCGAGGGGAGTCCACCTAATCTCCCCCCTCCTAGTGGCCCAGGTGAGGTGAACCTAACGCCCCTCACTGGTCAGAATAGTAGGAATCCTCGCATTCGTCCCAAATGACACCCTATTCCCTTTAAAAGTGCACTACATTAGACCAGAGTCCTGGTTAAAAAAGTAGTGCACTACATTAGACCAGAGTCCTGGTTAAAAAGTAGTGCACTATATTAGACCAGAGTCCTGGTTAAAAAGTAGTGCACTACATTAGACCAGATTCCTGGTTAAAAAGTAGTGCACTACATTAGACCAGAGTCCTGGTTAAAAAGTAGTGCACTACATTAGACCAGAGGAGTCCTGGTTAAAAAGTAGTGCACTACATTAGACCAGAGTCCTGGTTAAAAAGTAGTGCACTATATTTTGACCAGAGTCCTGGTTAAAAAGTAGTGCACTATATTAGACCAGAGTCCTGGTTAAAAAGTAGTGCACTACATTAGACCAGATTCCTGGTTAAAAAGTAGTGCACTACATTAGACCAGAGTCCTGGTTAAAAAGTAGTGCACTACATTAGACCAGAGTCCTGGTTAAAAAGTAGTGCACTATATTTTGACCAGAGTCCTGGTTAAAAAGTAGTGCACTACATTAGACCAGAGTCCTGGTTAAAAAGTAGTGCACTACATTAGACCAGAGGAGTCCTGGTTAAAAAGTAGTGCACTACATTAGACCAGAGGAGTCCTGGTTAAAAAGTAGTGCACTACATTAGACCAGAGTCCTGGTTAAAAGTAGTGCACTACATTAGACCAGAGGAGTCCTGGTTAAAAAGTAGTGCACTATATTTTGACCAGAGTCCTGGTTAAAAAGTAGTGCACTATATTAGACCAGAGTCCTGGTTAAAAAGTAGTGCACTACATTAGACCAGAGTCCTGGTTAAAAAGTAGTGCACTACATTAGACCAGAGGAGTCCTGGTTAAAAGTAGTGCACTATAAAGGGAGAATAGGTCAGTGATCCGGTCAGCAACTAACTGTCCGACTCAACACATCAGTAACTTCACTGTTTTATTTCTCTGCATCATTATAAAAAAATGTTAACGTCTATAAAACCAACGACCCTCCCATCCAGTGGTGAGCTCTCCAGGAGGCTGGAGGCCCCCCAGACCCAGCCCAGCCACGGAGCCCCAGACCCTGGCTAGTCGGCCCCAGACCCTGGCTAGTCGGACCCAGCCACGGAGGCCCAGACCCCGGCTAGTCGGACCCAGCCACGGAGCCCCAGCCCCTGGCTAGTCGTCGGCATCCTTCCCTTCCTCTCCTCCCTGGTAGTGTCTGTACTCTGGCTTCAGCTCCCACGTGTTCTTGTGGGTTCCCTTCACGTTGTAGATGCCGATGTCACGAAGAATCTCTTTCAGGTAACTCTGAATGGAGGAGGGGGAAAGAGAAGGGAGAGATGTATTATATAGACCGATAGGGAGAGATGTTGTATTATATAGACCGATAGGGAGAGATGTTGTATTATATAGACCGATAGGGAGAGATGTTGTATTATATAGACCGATAGGGAGAGATGTTGTATTATATAGACCGATAGGGAGAGATGTTGTATTATATAGACAGATAGTGAGAGATGTTGTATTATATAGACCGATAGGGAGAGATGTTGTATTATATAGACCGATAGGGAGAGATGTTGTATTATATAGACCGATAGGGAGAGATGTTGTATTATATAGACCGATAGGGAGAGATGTTGTATTATATAGACCGATAGGGAGAGATGTTGTATTATATAGACGATAGGGAGAGATGTTGTATTATATAGACAGATAGTGAGAGATGTTGTATTATATAGACCGATAGGGAGAGATGTTGTATTATATAGACAGATAGGGAGAGATGTTGTATTATATAGACCGATAGGGAGAGATGTTGTATTATATAGACCGATAGGGAGAGATGATTTTATTATATAGACAGTAGGGAGAGGATGTTTTTATTATATAGACAGATAGGGAGAGATGTTGTATTATATAGACAGATAGGGAGAGATGTTGTATTATATAGACCGATAGGGAGAGATGTTGTATTATATAGACCGATAGGGAGAGATGTTGTATTATATAGACCGATAGGGGGAGATGTTATTATATAGACCGATAGGGGGAGATGTTGTATTATATAGACCGATAGGGAGAGATGTTTATTATATAGACCCATAGGGAGAGATGTTGTATTAATAGACCGATAGGGAGAGATGTTTTTTATTATATAGACCGATAGGGAGAGTGTTGTATTATATAGACCGATAGGGAGAGATGTTGTATTATATAGACCGATAGGGAGAGATGTTGTATTATATAGACCGATAGGGAGAGATGTTGTATTATATAGACCGATAGGGAGAGATGTTGTGTTATATAGACCGATAGGGAGAGATGTTGTGTTATATAGACCGATAGGGAGAGATGTTGTATTATATAGACCGATAGGGAGAGATGTTGTATTATATAGACGATAGGGAGAGATGTTGTATTATATGACCGATAGGGAGAGATGTGTATTATTAGACCGATAGGGAGAGATGTTGTTTTTAATAGAACGATAGGGAGAGATGGGTTGTATATATAGACCGATTTGGAGAGAGTTTATTAATTTGACGATAGGAGAGATTTTTTTATATAGACCGATAGGAGAGATGTTGGTATAAAATAGACCGATAGGGAGAGATGTTGTATTATATAGACAGATAGGGAGAGATGTTGTATTATATAGACCGATAGGGAGAGATGTTGTATTATATAGACCGATAGGGAGAATGTTGGGATTAATAGACAGATAGGAGAGATGTTGTATTATTTGACCCATAGGGAGAGATGTTGTATTATAAAAGACCGATAGGGAGAGATGTTGTATTATATAGGGCCGATAGGGGGAGATGTTGTATTAATAGACCGATAGGGAGAAAATGTGTATTATATACCGATAGGGAGAGATGTTGTATTATATAGACAGATAGGGGGAGATGTTTGTATTTATAGACAGTAGGGAGATTTTTGTATTATATAGACCGATAGGGAGAGATGTTGTATTATATAGACCGATAGGGAGAGATGTTGTATTATATAGACCGATAGGGAGAGATGTTGTATTATATAGACCGATAGGGGGAGATGTTGTATTATATAGACCGATAGGGAGAGATGTTGTATTATATAGACCGATAGGGAGAGATGTTGTATTATATAGACCGATAGGGAGAGATGTTGTTATTATATAGCCGATAGGAGAGATGTTGTATTATATAGACGATAGGGAGAGATGTTGTATTATATGACCGATAGGGAGAGATGTTGTATTATTAGACAGATAGGGAGAGGGTGTTGTATTATATAGACAGATAGTGAGAGATGTTGATTATTAAAACCGAAAAGGGAGAGATGTTGTATTATATAGACCGATTTGGGAGAGATGTTGTATTTTATAGACAATAGGGAGAGAGTTGTATATATAGACCGATAGGGGAGAGATGTTGTATTATATAGACGATAGGGAGAGATGATTTTATTTTATAGACAGATAGGGGGGAGAGTTTTATTATATAGACCGATAGGGGGGGATTTGTATTATATAGACCGATAGGGAGAGATGTTGTATTATATAGACCGATAGGGAGAGATGTTGTATTATATAGACCGATAGGGAGAGATGTTGTATTATATAGACCGATAGGGAGAGATGTTGTATTATATAGACAGATAGGGAGAGATGTTGTATTATATAGACAGATAGGGAGAGATGTTGTATTATATAGACCGATGGGGAGATGTTGTATTATATAGACAGATTTGGGAGAGATGTTGTATTATATAGACCCGGGTAGGGAGGAGATGTTGATTATATAGAACAGATAGGGAGAGAGTTGTATTATATAGACCGATAGGGAGAGAGTGTTATTATATAGACCGATGGGGAGTATGTTGTATTATATGACAGATAGGGAGAGATGTTGTATATATAGACCGATAGGGGAGATGTGTATTATATAGACCGATAGGGAGAGATGTTGTATTATATAGACCCATGGGAGAGATGTTGTATTATATAGACAGTAGGGAGGGGATGTATTATATAAACAGATTTGGGAGGATGTTTTTATATAGACAGATAGGGAGAGCTGTATTATATAGACAGATAGGGAGAGATGTTATATTATATAGACAGATAGGGAGAGATGTGTTTATATAGACAGATAGGGAGAGATGTTGTATTATATAGACAGATAGGGAGAGATGTTGTATTATATAGACAGATAGGGAGAGATTGGGTTTAGCTTCCATTGTAAAATCTGTCGATGTGCCGAGGGAAGGCACTTAAACCCTAAATTGCTCTGTAAGCGCTCTGGATAAGAGTGTCTGCTAAATGACTAAAATGTAAATGTAGTTCCCTCTTGCATCTTTATATAAAAGGGAGTATTGTGTAGAAGGTATTACATCACCAACCAGACAACAATCCACCTCAAGACTGAAACACCAATTACCACGGCCGGCCCGCTCATTACGCGGGCCACCTCTAGCGGCAGATTGACGAGGGGCGGCATTTTCTGAGCTAAACTGACCACGACGCACCTCCAACATCAATCAACACATAAAAACCTCCACATAATTCTGCCCCAAAACAATGACAAGTCTGGCTCGACCAGTGGGCATGCGGGCTTTTCAGGTGAGCGCTGATGCCGCCCTGTGATAAGCAGCGCCCGCTTTGTCAAAGGCGCTAAATATCTTCGCCCGTCCATTCCCCAGGGGCGCCTCTCCAGGGTGCTGTTGGAGAGACGCATCCCTGCAGCGCTACACCAACGTTCAGTCAAACAAAATGATCGTAACATACATCACGTAGCAGATCCAGGATATGGTAGGAAGAGATCCAGGATATGGTAGGAAGAGATCCAGGATATGGTAGGAAGAGATCCAGGATATGGTAGGAAGAGATCCAGGATATGGTAGGATGAGATCCAGGATATGGTAGGAAGAGATCCAGGATATGGTAGGAAGAGATCCAGGATATGGTAGGAAGAGATCCAGGATATGGTAGGAAGAGATCCAGGATATGGTAGGATGAGATCCAGGATATGGTAGGAAGAGATCCAGGATATGGTAGGAAGAGTATGTGGCCTTTGAATTCCATTGCGCCTTGACATGGTAGCTGCACCCCAGTACTCACGAGGACCACGTCTTTTTTTTGGTCCTGTCCAGACGTCATTTTTTTGGGTGTTTTACAAACGGTAGGCTTACCACAGATTGGCATTCATAACATTTTATTTCAGGCAACACTGTAGGCTACACCTCAGTAGGCACGGACCGATGATGACGCCTTTTGGACATATTTTTTGGGTGCAGTTCCGGACCGGCCTTGATTTCCACATCCACAGACATTGTTTTTTTTTCTACTTTCATTCAGAACCAAATACGCCCGATTTCAACATCCTGAAAATACATATTTTCAACGTCTATAAAATACGCATTTTCAACTTTCAGTCAGAACCGAAAATGAACCTGATTTCAACGTCCTGGAAAATATGTATTTTAAACATACGGAAAATACCTTTTCACCTTTCATTCAGAACCTAAATTGAACCCAACTTCAACGTCTGGTCTCGCCTATGGCAGTAGAAAGGCAAGGATCGGCCCGTTTTCTACTACACTGTTACAGCATCTCTTCCCACAGCATCTCTCCTCAAAGCATCTCTCCCCACAGCATCTCTCCCTCCCCACAGCATCTCTCCCTCCCCACAGCATCTCTCCCTCCCCACAGCATCTCTCCCCACACCATATATCCCACACTGTAGCTCAGTTGGTTAGAGCATGGCGCTTGCAACGCCAGGGTTGTGGGTTCGTTTCCCACGGGGGGGGCCAGTATGAAAAATGTATGCGCTCGCTAACTGCAAGTGGCTCTGGATAAGAGCGTCTGCTAAATAACTAAACATGTAAAATGTAAATGTATCCCACAGGAAGTATCCTTCCTTACCACAGGTTGTTTAAAATGTAAATGTATCCCACAGGAAGTATCCTTCCTTACCACAGGTTGTTTTGGTGATGTAAATGTATCCCACAGGAAGTATCCTTCCTTACCACAGGTTGTTTGGTGATGTCCACCAGATCCTTGATGTTGTAATACTGGTGTTTCTCAAAGGCTGAGAACAACATGTCCAACACCTGCTGCTTGTCCGCCCGCGCTCTTTTACCATCCTCCTTTTTCTCCTGTCTATTCCACTGGGGGGGCACGCACACACACACACCACACACACCACACACAACACACCACACACACACACACCACACACCGACATACACACACACGGGGACACACACACACACACACCCCGTATTAGTCTAGTTCAGGTGAGTTTGGGACAAAATGTGCACACACTGATGGTGTCTTCCCAAGGTCACACGGTGTAACAGAGAAACTACCACTCAGCCAGCCAGCCAGCCAGCCAGCCAGCCAGCCAGCCAGCCAGCCAGCCAGGCCACATGGTCTCCTTACGTTGTAGGAATGGTTGGCCACTGGTTTGTAGTTGGTGGTAACAGCCTTGTCTAGTTGCTGAGACAATCTCACTGGCTTGGACAATTCTTCCATCTGCAGTCTGGGGACAGAGCAGGAGAGGGGACACGAGAGAGCAATGAGTGTCAGCGTGAGAGTTGTGTGTGTGTGTGTGTGTGTGGTGTGTGTGTGTGTGTGGTACCTCTTGAGTTTCATGTAGCTCTCACTGACAGCAGGTCTACACTCCGCTCTCTGCACCACCACTCCCTCCAGGGAGATTTTGTCTTCAGAAGAAAGGAGACACGGTTAAAAGACATGAGTAGACGTCACTGTGTGTGTTGACACTCTCTCTCTCTCTCTACGTCATTTCATCTGTTTCAGTGTGGTATTCCTCAGTGTGTGACATCACAGTGCCAGTCCTCTGCCACACAGTCATCCCCACAACTGAAGGGTCATAAAACACACCCACTCTGCCTGCCAACCCTGCGGTTGGTGTGGAGCAACACACCCACTCTGCCTGCCAACCCTGCGGTTGGTGTGGAGCAACACACCCACTCTGCCTGCCAACCCTGCGGTTGGTGTGGAGCAACACACCCACTCTGCCTGCCAACCCTGCGGTTGGTGTGGAGCAACACACCCACTCTGCCTTCCACACCTGCGGTTGGGTGTGGAGCAACACACCCACTCTGCCTGCCAACCCTGCGGTTCGGTGTGGAGCAAACACACCCACTCTGCCTGCCAACCCTGCGGTTGGTGTGGAGCAACACACCCACTCTGCCCTGCAACCTAAAACACACCCACTCTGCCCTGCCAACCTAAAACACACCCACTCTGCCTGCAACACAGCCAACACACACTGTTTACTAATCAGTAGCCTCGCTCCCAGGGATCTAGGGTTGTCTAACAGGAGGCTAGAGACTAACTGATCACTAGGGTTGTCTAACAGGAGGCTAGAGACTAACTGACCACTAGGGTTGTCTAACAGGAGGCTAGAGACTAACTGATCACTAGGGTTGTCTAACAGGAGACTAGAGACTAACTGATCACTAGGGTTGTCTAACAGGAGACTAGAGACTAACTGATCACTAGGGTTGTCCAACAGGAGACTAGAGACTAACTGATCACTAGGGTTGTCCAACAGGAGACTAGAGACTAACTGATCACTAGGGTTGTCTAACAGGAGACTAGAGACTAACTGATCACTAGGGTTGTCTAACAGGAGACTAGAGACTAACTGATCACTAGGGTTGTCTAACAGGAGACTAGAGACTAACTGATCACTAGGGTTGTCTAACAGGAGACTAGAGACTAACTGATCACTAGGGTTGTCTAACAGGAGACTAGAGACTAACTGATCACTAGGGTTGTCCAACAGGAGACTAGAGACTAACTGATCACTAGGGTTGTCTAACAGGAGACTAGAGACTAACTGATCACTAGGGTTGTCTAACAGGAGACTAGAGACTAACTGATCACTAGGGTTGTCTAACAGGAGACTAGAGACTAACTGATCACTAGGGTTGTCTAACAGGAGACTAGAGACTAACTGATCACTAGGGTTGTCTAACAGGAGACTAGAGACTAACTGATCACTAGGGTTGTCTAACAGGAGACTAGAGACTAACTGATCACTAGGGTTGTCTAACAGGAGACTAGAGACTAACTGATCACTAGGGTTGTCTAACAGGAGACTAGAGACTAACTGATCACTAGGGTTGTCCAACAGGAGGCTAGAGACTAACTGATCACTAGGGTTGTCTAACAGGAGACTAGAGACTAACTGATCACTAGGGTTGTCTAACAGGAGACTAGAGACTAACTGATCACTAGGGTTGTCTAACAGGAGACTAGAGACTAACTGATCACTAGGGTTGTCTAACAGGAGACTAGAGACTAACTGATCACTAGGGTTGTCTAACAGGAGACTAGAGACTAACTGATCACTAGGGTTGTCTAACAGGAGACTAGAGACTAACTGATCACTAGGGTTGTCTAACAGGAGACTAGAGACTAACTGATCACTAGGGTTGTCCAACAGGAGACTAGAGACTAACTGATCACTAGGGTTGTCCAACAGGAGGCTAGAGACTAACTGATCACTAGGGTTGTCTAACAGGAGACTAGAGACTAACTGATCACTAGGGTTGTCCAACAGGAGGCTAGAGACTAACTGATCACTAGGGTTGTCCAACAGGAGGCTAGAGACTAACTGATCACTAGGGTTGTCTAACAGGAGACTAGAGACTAACTGATCACTGGGGTTGTCCAACAGGAGGCTAGAGACTAACTGATCACTAGGGTTGTCTAACAGGAGACTAGAGACTAACTGATCACTAGGGTTGTCCAACAGGAGGCTAGAGACTAACTGATCACTAGGGTTGTCCAACAGGAGACTAGAGACTAACTGATCACTAGGGTTGTCTAACAGGAGACTAACTGATCACTAGGGTTGTCCAACAGGAGGCTAGAGACTAACTGATCACTAGGGTTGTCTAACAGGAGACTAGAGACTAACTGATCACTAGGGTTGTCTAACAGGAGACTAGAGACTAACTGATCACTAGGGTTGTCTAACAGGAGACTAGAGACTAACTGATCACTAGGGTTGTCTAACAGGAGACTAGAGACTAACTGATCACTAGGGTTGTCTAACAGGAGACTAGAGACTAACTGATCACTAGGGTTGTCTAACAGGAGACTAGGAGACTAACTGATCACTAGGGTTGTCTAACAGGAGACTAGAGACTAACTGATCACTATGGGTTGTCTAACAGGAGACTAGAGACTAACTGATCACTAGGGTTGTCTAACAGGAGACTAGAGACTAACTGATCACTAGGGTTGTCTAACAGGAGACTAGAGACTAACTGATCACTAGGGTTGTCTAACAGGAGACTAGAGACTAACTGATCACTAGGGTTGTCTAACAGGAGACTAGAGACTAACTGATCACTAGGGTTGTCTAACAGGAGACTATAGACTAACTGATCACTAGGGTTGTCCAACAGGAGGCTAGGAGACTAACTGATCACTAGGGTTGTCTAACAGGAGACTAGAGACTAACTGATCACTAGGGTTGTCCAACAGGAGACTAGAGACTAACTGATCACTAGGGTTGTCCAACAGGAGGCTAGGAGACTAACTGATCACTAGGGTTGTCTAACAGGAGAGAGACTACTGACTAGGGTTGTCTAACAGGAGACTAGAGACTAACTGATCACTAGGGTTGTCTAACAGGAGACTAGAGACTAACTGATCACTAGGGTTGTCTAACAGGAGACTAGAGACTAACTGATCACTAGGGTTGTCTAACAGGAGACTAGAGACTAACTGATCACTAGGGTTGTCTAACAGGAGACTTAGAGACTAACTGATCACTAGGGTTGTCTAACAGGAGACTAGAGAACTAACTGATCACTAGGGTTGTCTAACATGGAGACAGAGACTAATTATCACTAGGGTTGTCCAACAGGAGACTAGAGGACTAACTGATCACTAGGTGTTGTCCAACAGGAGACTAAGACTAACTGATCACTAGGGTTGTCCAACAGGAGACTAGAGACTAACTGATCACTAGGGTTGTCCAACAGGAGACTAGAGACTAACTGATCACTAGGGTTGTCCAACAGGAGACTAGAGACTAACTGATCACTAGGGTTGTCCAACAGGAGACTAGAGACTAACTGATCACTAGGGTTGTCCAACAGGAGGCTAGAGACTAACTGATCACTAGGGTTGTCTAACAGGAGACTAGAGACTAACTGATCACTAGGGTTGTCTAACAGGAGACTAGAGACTAACTGATCACTAGGGTTGTCTAACAGGAGGCTAGAGACTAAACTGCTCACTAGGGTTGTCAACAGGAGACTAGAGACTAATGATCACTAGGGTTGTCCAACAGGAGACTAGAGACTAACTGATCACTAGGTTGTCTAACAGGAGACTAGAGACTAACTGATCACTAGGGTTGTCTAACAGGAGACTAGAGACTAACTGATCACTAGGGTTGTCTAACAGGAGACTAGAGACTAACTGATCACTAGGGTTGTCTAACAGGAGACTAGAGACTAACTGATCAACAACCTCCACCAGACAGAGGCCTAACCTCCAGCCCAGACTCCACACCTCTCAACAACCTCCACCAGACAGAGGCCTAACCTCCAGCCTCCTGCCCAGGCTCCACACCTCTCAACAACCTCCACCAGACAGAGACCTAACCTCCAGCCTCCTGCCCAGGCTCCACACCTCTCAACAACCTCCACCAGACAGAGACCTAACCTCCAGCCTCCTGCCCAGGCTCCACACCTCTCAACAACCTCCACCAGACAAGAGACCTAACCTCCAGCCTCCTGCCCAGGCTCCACACCTCTCAACAACCTCCACCAGACAGAGACCTAACCTCCAGCCTCCTGCCCAGGCTCCGCACCTCTCAACAACCTCCACCAGACAAGAGACCTAACCTCCAGCCTCCTGCCCAGGCTCCACACCTCTCAACAACCTCCACCAGACAGAGACCTAACCTCCAGCCTCCTGCCCAGGCTCCACACCTCTCAACAACCTCCACCAGACAGAGACCTAACCTCCAGCCTCCTGCCCAGGCTCCACACCTCTCAACACCTCCACCAGACAGAGACCTAACCCCAGCCTCCTGCCCAGGCTCCACACCTCTCAAAACTCCACAGACAGAGACCAACCTCCAGCTCCTGCCCAGGCTCCACACCTCTCAACAACCTCCACCAGACAAGAGACCTAACCTCCAGCCTCCTGCCCAGGCTCCACACCTCTCAACAACCTCCACCAGACAGAGACCCAACCTCCAGCCTCCTGCCCAGGCTCCACACCTCTCAACAACCTCCACCAACAAAACCAACCCCCAGCCTCCTCCCAGGCTCCCACCCTTCACAACCTCCCCCAGACGGACCAAACCCTCCGCCCCCCCTGCCCGGGCTCCACACCCTCAACAACCTCCAAACAAAGACCAAACCCCAGCCCCCCCAGGCTCCCACCTCTCAACAACCTCCCCCAGAAAAGGACCAAACCCCCGCCTCCTGCCCGGGCTCCACACCTCCAACAACCTCCACCAACAAAAATAACCTCCACCCCCCTCCCAGGCCCCACCCTTCAAAAACCTCCCCAGACGGGAACCTCCCCTCCACCCACCCCCAATTTTACACCTCTCAACAACCTCCCCAGGGGACCCTAACCTCCACCCCTCCTGCCCCAGGTCACACCTCTCAGTGGGGAAGAGACTGGGGGGACTCACCTGGTCCTGTCCCCGCCCCCGAAACTGAGGTGCTGCCATCAGATCTCTCTTCTGACTGGCCTACAGGGAGGGAGGAGTGGATTGGACAGTAAGGTTTAGACTACCGGGTTTGTGGCGTAGAGGCAGTAGCAACGGAGATGCACACAGAACTCTGCTCGGCAACATGTTGCAAAACAACACATCTTGACGGTGGCCACACTTCACACTCAAGCCAGCAAGTGCCTCAAAAAAACAGAACTCTATATACTGTCTCCAAAACACATACAAAGGACACACCACAAGCTCACGCTCCACACTGACACACCCTCAAGCAACAGGCCTGGCTGGGGATCAGGAGGAGGGAGGGAGACGAGGGGGAGGGAGACGAGGGGGAGGGAGACGAGGAGGAGGTGCACATTAGAAGTGGCATCAAGACCATGCACAAATCATGACGTCAAACCAAGCACTCCACTCCACACCAGATCGATACCATCATAATATTGATTGATTTGTTTATGTTGTTAACAAGCTCCAAATCCCATTCAGCAGCAGATCATGTCCAAACTACTGAGCTGATTCATTCGCAGTGGTTCTGATCTGATCTGAGCAGAGAGCCAGCCAGCGGAGCCACTGAGACAAGCAGAGGACGTTCATCTGTTCTGCTGTGGCAACGGAAATTAAAAATGCAACGAATCTGATCAAAACCAGCCCAAAACAATGAGAGATAGAAAGGGGAAGGGGGGGACAGAGAGAGATGGAGAGGGAGAAAGGGAAAGAGAGAGAGAGGCATAGAGAGAGAGATGAGAGGGAGGGGCATAGAGAGAGAGAGATGAGAGGGAGAGAGGGGCATAGAGAGAGATGAGAGAGAGGGGCAGAGAGAGAGGGGCATAGAGAGAGAAAGGGAAAGAGAGAGGCATAGAGAGAGAGATAGAGAGGGGCATAGAGAGAGAGATGAGAGAGAGGGAGGGGCAGAGATAGATGAGAGGGAGGGGCATAGAGGGAGGGGCATAGAGAGAGGGCCATAGAGAGAGAGATGAGAGGGAGAGATGGGCATAGAGAGAGATGAGAGAGGGGGCAGAGAGAGAGAGGGGAAATGAGAGAGGGGGGAGAGGGAGTGAGAGAGGAAGGGGAGAGAGACAGATGGAGAAGGAGAGAGAGGCGGAGGGACACACAATACTACTTACCCTGAGGCGGAGGGACACACAGAACTACTTACCCTGAGGCGGAGGGACTCACAGACACACAGTGCTACTTACCCTTAGATGACTCTAATGGGTGAAAGATCAGTTATAAATCACAAACCATGCTTATTTGCAGTCAGGACAACACAAGGCATTTTGACAGTGAATATTATCTGACTACACATTCAAATAGAGGTTATGACTCAAACAACATGGCAGTCAGGTGTCATGGCGTCTCAAATGACACCCTACTCCCATACAGGTGCCATTTTGCACCAAAATAGACAGCTTTCTATATCAAATCAGCTGGAGGCCAGGTAACTGCGGTTCCTTACCTGATTGGGTCTCAGTGAACACGGCCAGAGTCTGTCCTCCTACAGTCTGCATGGTGAACGGGTGGTCCCTGGGGGCCTGCACCCCTGATGGCTTGTCCCCCAGGCTGTCAATCATCGTCAGGTCTTCATTCAGAGTGAATGCCACCTGGTGCACAACAAGTTTAAGTGATATCAGTTTAGGACCAGGACATTGTTGGCTGGGTTGGGGTCAATTATCCGTAGGAATGCAATTCCTCTGTCTGTGTATTGACTCGTCAGCCACCATAGTCAGTATTATTACCTCTGCTTTCCCTTGGTTCCTAAGGCAAGAGAAGAAGAAAACAATTGATCAGCTGATCACCTAAGATAGAAACTTCTCTTTAGCCAGCAGAGAAAGTAAACAGCGATGATGATGGTGATGACCAACAAACAATAACATATGAACGAGCCATTTCTACATACTTGCCGATCCGGAGTTTCCCGACCTCTCCCCTGCCTGATGCTTTGGCCCATTGCTGGGACAGGTATTTGGGCACCTGTGGGCACAGAGACTGGTTGTTAGTTAGCTAGCTAGCTACCTTATGCAGTGTGATGATAGTGACAGTTACTGTAGTCTACTTGAATAGATCGCTAGCCTGCCGCTAGCTAGTCTCGTCCCATCCATCTGACGCTGCCGCTAGCTGGCTAACGTTAGCCGCTAGCTAGCTACAGTTTATACCCTGCATTTCCAACGTACCTTTACCAGCCACACGCCCGTGTTCTGTTTAGCACCAGTCAAATCCACTTCGCCTTTCTCTGACATGTTTAAAACGTTGAAATCACCTCTTACACGTTACCATTACAATTTGTTCGGCGTTATTTGAGGTAGGCTAGCAAACGTTTACTAAACAACACACGGTCCGTTAAAATGAACGAACCGTAACTACGGAGGCGCATGAGAGCCAGAAAGGACGCGCGAAACCATAAATACTAGAAGTCGAAGTTCGGTGGTCAATGAAAAAATTAACTGTTCGAATATCTTTTCATCAAACAACTCATATTCATACATATAAAAAAACCTGTATCTCAGAAAACATTGGCTACATGAAAAATCTTCACAATTAAAAACATGGTAGCACCATAGAAACGGTAGCACAGCCTACCCTGGGTAACTACAGCTGCACCATCGAGAGCATCCTGACTGGTTGCATCACCGCCTGGTATGGCAACTGCTCGGCCTCCGACCGCAAGGCACTACAGAGGGTAGTGCGTACGGCCCAGTACATCACTGGGGCCAAGCTTCCTGCCATCCAGGACCTCTATACCAGGCGGTGTCAGAGGAAGGCCCTCAAAATTGTCAAAGACTCCAGCCACCCTAGTCTAGACTGTTCTCTGCTACCGCCACGGCAAGCGGTACCGGAGTGCCAAGTCCTAGGTCCAAAAGACTTCTCAACAGCTTCTACCCCCAAGCCATAAGACTCCTGAACAGCTAATCATGGCTACCACCGACTATTTGCACTGCCCCCCCCACCCCATCCTTTTTACGCTGCTGCTACTCTGTTAAGTATTTATGCATAGTCACTTTAACTCTACCCACATGTACATATTACCTCAACTACCTCAACTAGCCGGTGCCCCCGCACATTGACTCTGCCCCGGTACCCCCCTGTATATATAGCCTCCCTACTGTTATTTTATTTTACTTCTGCTCTTTTTTTTCTCACACTTTTTTGTTGTTGTTGTTTTATTTTACTTTTTTATTAAAAAATAAATGCATTGTTGGTTAAGGGCTGTAAGTTAAGCATTTCACGGTAATGTCTGCACCTGTTGTATTCGGCGCATGTCGCAAATAAAATTTGCTTTGATTTGCTTTGATACATAGCCTTTAGAGAAAGGGTGCAGTGACAAACACTCAAAGGCCCAGTGCAGTCAAAAACGTGATTTTCCTGTGTTCTATATATAGTTCCAGTATGAATATTGTATGCACTAACTGTAAGTCGCTCTGGATAAGAGCGTCTGCTAAATAATGTAAATGTATGAGGTTGTAATGATACTGTGAAATTTATGATAATGCCCTTTTAGTGTAACAGCTGTTTGAAAAAAAAAAGACCTCCTGAAATATTCAGCTTGTTTTGGTGGGGTGGAGTTTTGACCAGTTAGTAGACCAATAAGAAAGATCGTTTTTTCCCTTCCCCCACTCAGACCACTCCCAGACAGTCCTAGCAAAATTCTTGCTTGAGAAATGACTCTTCGCTAAGAAGCTATTTTTGTTTCTTCTTGACCGTTTTAATTTAAAACAAAAAACAGTAAGGTACTTAATTGTTCTCCAGAAATGATTTGATATTAAAGATTTTTTTTAAACAGCTTCATTGGACCTTTTAAAAACAAAAGAATGAGGGGAGGTCCCATGTAGCTCAGTTGGTAGAGCATGGCGCTTGCAACGCCAGGGTTGTCGGTTCGATTCCCACGGGGGGGAACCAGTATGGAGAAATACAAGTATGAAAATGTACGCACTCACTACTGTAAGTCGCTCTGGATAAAAGCATCAGCTAAAGGACTGAAATGTAAAAATGTGACAATCAAACTGATAGTCACACTTTTCTCAAAATACATACAAGTTCTACCTATATAGATAATATTCAGTACAATGTGTTCTGATCATCTGAGCAGTTGGACTGCAATAAAGTCAACCTGGAACGTTCCCATCATAGTTGACTGGGTCAGGTGACAAATGCCCAATACTGGGCTATCTATCCTGTGTTGATTCTCTCAGAGGAACATTTTCTCCTTGCTGTGTCCGAAGCGTGTGTTGAGCTCCTGGGACTTCTTCAGCAGGCGTTGTTTCTGAGCCTCGTCGAACTTGTTGACCTGCAGGTCCTGGTCCCTGTCAAACGCCCGTCTCTCCACCGACTTGGCTCCCTCATCCAGTTTCCTCTTCTTCAACTGCTTCTCGTGGAGACTGATCAGAGACTCCCCACGCTTGGTTTCCTAACAGAGAGGAGAGAGAGAGAGAGAGAGCTCAGTTGGTAGAGCGTGGCGTTTGCAACACCAGGGTTGTGGGTTCGATTCCCACGGGGGGGCCAGTATGAAAAAATATATATAATAATAATGTATGCACTAACTGTAAGTCGCTCTGGATAAGAGCGTCTGCTAAATGACTAAAATGTAAATGTAAACTCATTTTGACATGTACTGGCTAGTAGACACCTTGATCTAGTCTCCTATTTCTAAATGCCGTAGTGACATCTTCATACACCCTTCTTCTGCTCCCATAATGGGTGCAGGTCATGCAGCTGATGCATTGTGGGCAGAGAAAAGAGTCCCTCCTACTTACGTTGTATTTGGACACTTTCTCAGCCATCTGCAACTCTTTGTGAGACAGTTGAGGGACAGACTCTATCTCTTCACTCTTCTTTCCCTCCAGTCGTTCCTGTTGAGAGAGAGAGAGAGAGAGAGAGAGAGAGAGAGAGAGAGAGAGAGAGAGAGAGAGAGAGAGAGAGAGAGGACAGAGAGAGAGAGAGAGAGAGAGAGAGAATGATATAGTCAGTACAGTAGTGTGAAATTCCAAAAGAAATGTGTCGACTGTTCAGATTAGAAACAGAACCAGTGTTCCCTACCCTGAGTTTGCGTTCTCGGTCAGCAGGAGTGTCGGTCCAGAGGGATCGGTCCTTGCTCTCCGGTCCAGCCCTCTTCTTGAAGGTTCTGGCCCCCAGCCCGATGTGCTGCAGTGTTGGAGGAAGCTCTGTCATCCAGGTCTCTCTCACCACCTCCTCCGGACCATCCTGCCAATCAACCATCACAGACAAGCCTGTCAACTCATTCTACCAACACACCCCAGGACATTTCACCTGGGGTCTGTTCAGTGGGAGCAAACGTGGGGAAATGATTTGAAATAAGAGGAGTTTAAATTTGTCCTATTACACAGTTTAAAAACATTTTGCAGGACTGAACTACGTATGAGAACCACACCCAATTTGCATTTTCCTAAGGGTGCCACCTGGTGGTGTATTCAAGCACCATAAAGATACATTAATTACTGGTCGGTTTATCAGAAACAAGGCAAAAGTAAACATGTCGTCCCCCACGAATGATGCAGATGCAGCCCCCCCCCCCGCCCAATTAGTGCAAATTATTCAAATTTATGTTGTGTGGATTAATGAGATGAAAAAAAACTATCAAGTCAAGATTGGATAGGATGTCAGATAACAGACTCCACTGGTGGATAAGGAGATGTATTGACATAAAACAGGATGTATTTTTATGGGCAGACAAGGGATAGTCTTGCTAGACTATACTGATAGTAACATAATGGTTGAATAATCACATCGATCCACTGATGTCTATCATTTACACTTGATGCAAATGCTCAAAGGCATGTAAGACGCTAGCTACTAGGGCATTTAAAATTAACTCTGGAATTCAGTTGATTACTATAGCGCCCCCCCCTTGGGCCAATCAGTGTAATCTCTATTAGCGAGACGCATCATTCACCCAAGATTCGCCAAATTCGGGCCGGTGGTGTCTGAGATATCGCGTGTGACTAACATAGGTACGAACGGACGGAGAGAGATCCATAGTCCCCCCCCCAGGATGTCTAGATGTAGAATAGTGAGGTGCTCACATCTGCTCCCGTCAGTCTGTCCTTCATCTTCTGAGCTCTGCGTTCGATGTCCAGAGCCACGGAGTCCTGGATGGCACCTTGAGCAGGCATGGGCCCGATCACCTCTTCATCCTCCTCCTCCTCCTCTTCATCACTGCTGGAGGGTTCTGCTGTGTAGCCCGGTGGAAGGGCTGGCCCATGGAGATCATCATCCATCTTCATCAGCTGCTGGTCTGTGAAAGCCCGGTGGCAGGGCTGGCCCATGGAGATTCATCATCATCTTCATCAGCTGCTGGTCTGTGAAAGCCCGGTGGAAGGGCTGGCCCATGGAGATCATCATCATCTTCATCAGCTGCTGGTCTGTGAAAGCCCGGTGGCAGGGCTGGCCCATGGAGATCATCTCCATCATCATCATCTTCATCAGCTGCTGGTCTGTGAAAGCCCGGTGGCAGGGCTGGGCCCAATACAGCTGGCCTAGGGGAGGTAGAAAAAGAGAATCAATCAACTCAACACAAACCAACAAATACATTTATACAAATATATGCATGACTGACAGCAAGTTTAATATGTATGTTTGAAGCAGGGAGAACTAGTTGTGTTGTCTTGGTTACCTCTCTGGTGAAGCCTGTGACTTTGAGAACCCAGGAGGAAGAGCTGGTCCGAAGAAACCATCATCTTCATCATCATCATCATCATCCGCAAGCCTTCTACTCACCGTCTCGTCCACTCGGCGCTGTTTTCTGCAGAATGACGCAGACAGTCCATTTCAGGCATTTAACATGCGCTTTCCTTCAAAACAAAGACTAAATAACTTGTTTTGATGTTTGTCTGAAATGTAGAAGTGAGTCTAAATGTGTTACTCTGCGGTGGGTCCATCCCTGGTCGTCGCGCTACCGTGGCCGTGTCTGCTGCTGGTATCGTGCTTGCTGCTCGTCTTGCTTCGTCTCTTGATCACCTCCTCCTCCTCCTCCTCCTCCTCCTCCTCCTGGCCAAAGTCATCCTCCGAACTCGAGAGCAACTCCGGTTTGTACCCGGGAGGCAGCGCGGGACCTGCAACTATTGGACAAGACAGCACACCGTAGCTAGGTAAATACCAAAACCGACACTAGCCTTTTCGATTTAACATACAGTATAAAGCAGAAAGATAACTACGCCATGAATATGACAGCGTAGTATCCATAATATCGATGTTTGATTGAGCGAATTGATGCTGATGATACTAGTCACGGCCAAAAAAAATCATGTGCATGAAACCACTACTAACTTTACTCACATCCTCCCTCGTCATCAGAATCATCATGGCTGCTTTTTCTGAACGACGGGGGTAAGGCAGGTCCGATTAAATCATCGTCTGACATATTTACCGATTATTAATGAGCTATTTTTACAACAATAAACACCTCGACGAGAACGAAAAACGACACTGAAACACGAAAATCTAATCTGACCTCTACCACCGGAAGTAAACAATATCGACATCCAATGAACAAGCAGAATTCGTAGGTCACATGATCATTTCCACACAAGGAGGAAACCGAGTTGGTCGCTTCGCAGTTGGTTGTTGGTGTTTCTCACCTTTGTTTAACATGGTTTGACGAAGAAAAGTTGTTTTCGGAACAAGCTCATATCATGGGGAAGAAAGACAGGGGAGATCGGGGTGAGTATCTAGATTTTTTTCCGGAAATTGAATGTTACTCCAACTCATGTTGCTGTTCAGTCGGTGTTGTGATGGCAATAGCATGATGCTGAAGCATGGGAGACAGATAGGCATTCTGTGTAACTGTAACGTTACATTTGACATTTTAGTCATTTAGCAGACGCTCTCATCCAGAGCGACTTACAGTTTGTGCATACATTATTTTTTTATTTTTTCATACTGGCCCCCCCGTGGGAATCGACTCCTGTCTCTCTCTTCCTCCCTCCTGTCTGTCCTGTCTGTCTGTCTGTCTGTCTGTCTGTCTGTCTGTCTGTCTGTCTGTCTGTCTGTCTGTCTGTCTGTCTCTTCCTCCCTCCTGTCTGTCTCTCTCTTCCTCCCTCCTGTCTGTCTCTCTTCCTCCCTCCTGTCTGTCTCTCTCTTCCTCCCTCCTGTCTCTCTCTTCCTCCCTCCCTGTCTCTCTCTTCCTCCCTCCTGTCTGTCTCTCTCTTCCTCCCTCCTGTCTGCCCCTTTCCCCCAATCGTTTTCCTCTTTCTCCTCTGTTTCTTCCCCTTTTCCTTTTTTTTTTCCTCACTCCGTTTTTCTTCTTTACCTCTGTCTCTTTTTCCCCCCCTTGTCGCTCTTTCCCCTCCCCGTCTGTCCCCTTTCCTCCCCTGTTGTTCCCCCTTTCCCCCCTGTCTGTCTTTCCTCCCTTGTTGTCTCTCTTTCCCCCCTCTGTCTGTCTCTCTTTCCCCCTGTCTGTCTCTCTTTCCTCCCTCCGTCGTCTCTCTCTTCACCTCGTCTGTCTTTCCTCCCCCCGTCTGTCCTCTCTTTCCCCCCCTGTTGTTATTTCCCCCCCTTTGCTCTCTTCCTCCAGAGAGGAAGTCTTCTAAGAAGCGTGTGTATGATGAAGATGAGGATGAAGAGGAGGCGATGGGCAGTGAGTCCCAGGAGGCCGTCCCTGTGCGGTGGAAAAGGGGATGAGTGGGCCATCAAGTGGAGAACGGGGCAAAAGACTACGGCTGCAGAGGTGAAGAAGCCAGGATCCGACCTTTGGGTGGAAGACGACAGATTACTTCCAATTTAATCGGGGGGGGGTGTTTAAAGATAGACTAGTTGCAATAAATTTTTTGGATTTAGGCTATCCATTGATTCTTGAAGAATATAACTTACAAATGCCTCATGATCTCAGTTCAACTGTCGTCCCCCATCAGAACCCAAAGTATCAGCTTGTTTTACAACAATGTTTGTAAATTTAAACAAACACTGTATAGCCTCAAAACATGGTTCAACTGTAATTATAAACTGGGTGGTTCGAGCCCTGAATGCTGATTGGCTGAAAGCCGTGGTATATCAGACCGTATACCACGGGTATGTCAAAACATTTATTTTTACTGTTCTAATTACGTTGGTAACCAGTTTATAATAGCATAATTATTATTTTATCCAGTTGGATAAACAGCCTACCCGACCGCTCGGAGGTGTCCACATGGTCCTAAAGCACACCGTTGCCCTCGTTTTGTATCACATTCCAGTGATAAAACTAGGGGGGGGGGGGGACAAAAATGCAATTTCAGATTGTGGGGGGGTTGCTCCCCTGCTTTCATGACACTTAAAGTCATGCAACAGTAACCCCAAGAACCCCAAATTAAAATATTAATATTTAAATTTCGCAATTTATTCTTTCTTCCCCCCACCCCCCCCCCCCACTCGTAGGCCCCCCGATGGACAATCTTCGGAAGCCTTTCCCCCGGTGGATTTAAAATTGCCCCCCGGACTTTGGTAGCATAGCGAGCGGTGTTGGTCCGGTTCACGTTAAGAGCAAGCTGAAGCCACTCCCTGTATGTGGGGCGGGGGTTGCAGACCCAGGGCATAGTGGAGTATTCCCGAAACTCAGCAAAAATCTACCGGACGGGCCCTGCGTTTATAAAGGGCCGTTAGGAGGAGATGATAAAGGGGTTGGGGGGGGAGGAGGAGGAGGGGGAGGAGGAGGAGGGGTGGTGGTACGGGAGGAGGCAGGGGGGGAGGAGGGGGGGGAGGAGGGGGGTGGGAGGGGGAGGAGGAGGGGTACGGGGGGGAGGAGGGGGGGTGGTACGGGGGGAGGAGGTGGGGGTAAGGGAGGGGAGGAGGTGGTGGGAAGGGGGGGAGGAGGAGGAGGTACAGGGGTTGAGGGGGAGGGGCGGGAGGAGGAGGAGGAGGGGGGAGGTGGCAGGGGGGAGGAGGAGGGGGGTAAAGGGAGGAGGGGGGGTGGTGGAAAAGGGGGAGGAGGGGGGGGGTGGTAAGGAGGAGGGGGAGGGGACGGGAGGAGGAGGAGGAGGGGTTTCAGGGAGGAGGGGAGGTGGGGCGGAGGAGGAGGAGGTGGGGGGAAGGGGGGAGGAGGGGGTGGTTCGGGAGGAGGAGGAGGAGGAGGGGTTGGGGGTACAGGGAGGAGGAGGGGTGGACAGGGGGGAGGGGAGGAGGGGTGGTGGTGGTACGGGAGGAGGAGGGGGAGGTGGGGGTGGTAAAGGGAGGAGGAGGAGGAGGGGGGTGGTAAGGGGGGAGGAGGAGGGGGTGGTGGTGGTTTTAAGGGAGGAGGAGGAGGGGGGTAAGGGGGTTTGGGGGGAGGAGGTTTAGGGGGAGGAGGAGGAGGGGGAGGAGGGGGGGACAGGGGGGGGGGAGGGGGGACGGGAGGAGGAGGAGGTGGTGGTACAGGGAGGGAGGAAGGTGGTGGTGGTACAGGGAGGAGGAGGAGGTGGACGGAGGAGGGGAGGAGGTCAGGGAGGAGGAGGAGGAGGTGGTGGTACGGGAGGGGAGGATTTTTTTTGGGGGGGGGGTTTTAAGGGAGGAGGAGGAGGGGGTAAGGGAGGAGGAGGAGGTGGTACAGGGAGGAGGAGGAGGAGGAGGTGGTGGGTACAGGGAGGAGGAGGAGGTGGTACAGGGAGGAGGGGGGAGGTGGTGGTGGCAGGAGGAGGAGGGGAGGTGGGGGGTACAGGAGGAGGGGGGAGGTGGTGGTACAGGGGGGGAGGAGGAGGAGGGGGGGTGGGTGGTACGGGGGGAGGAGGGGTGGTAAAGGGAGGGGAGGAGGAGGTAAGGGAGGGGGGGGGAGGAAGGGGGGAGGAGGAGGAGGGGTACAGGGAGGGAAGGGAGGAGGAAGGGGTAAGGGGAGGAGGAGGGGTGGGGGTGGTTAAAGGGGGGGAGGGGGAGGGGGTACAGGGAGGGGGAGGAGGAGGGGTGGTGGTAAGGGGGAGGAGGAGGAGGTGGTGGTAAGGGGGGGAGGAGGGGGTGGTTTGGGGGACGGGAGGAGGAGGAGGTGGAAGGGAGGAGGAGGAGGTAAAGGGAGGAGGGGGATACAGGGGGGAGGAGGGGGGGTAAGGGGAGGAGGAGGGAGGTAAAGGGGGAGGGGGAGGTACAGGGAGGAGGAGGAAGGGGGAAGGAGGTAAGGGAGGAGGAGGTGGAAAAGGGGGGAGGAGGAGGAGGTGGGGGTGGAAAGGGGGAGGGGAGGGGGGAGGTGGGACAGGGAGGGGGGGGGGGTGGGGAGGAGGGGAGGAGGTGGTACGGGGGAGGAGGGGAGGTACAGGGAGGGGGAGGGGTCGGGGAGGGGAGGTAAGGGAGGAGGGGGAGGTGGGACGGGAGGAGGAGGAGGTGGTGGTAAGGGAGGGGAGGGGTGGTGGGCAGGAGGAGGGGAGGTGGAAGGGAGGAGGGGAGGGGGTGGTAAAGGGAGGGGGAGGGGGGAGGTGGGACAGGGAGGGGGGGAGGTGGTAAAGGGAGGAGGAGGGGAGGAAGGTGGTTTCAGGGAGGAGGAGGGGAGGGGAGGAGGTGGTAAAGGGGGGGAGGAGGGGGTAAGGGAGGAGGAGGAGGAGGTGGACGGGGAGGGGGGTGGTGGACAGGGGGAGGGGAGGGGAAGGGAGGAGGGGGAGGTGGTAAGGGGGGAGGGGAGGAGGAGGGGGTACAGGGAGGGGAGGAGGTGGGGGACAGGGGGGGGGGGGGAGGTACAGGGAGGAGGGGAGGGGGTCGGGGGAGGAGGGGGGTGGGGGTACAGGGAGGGGGAGGAGGTAAGGGAGGGGGGAGGGGGTCAGGGAGGGGAGGAGGTACAGGGGGGAGGGGTGGTTTAAAGGGAGGAGGGGGGAGGAGGGGGGTGGGGTGGAAGGGGGGAGGGAGGAGGTGGTAAGGGAGGGGAGGGGGGTGGTGGAGGAGGAAGAGGTGGTAAGGGGGGAGGAGGAAGAGGGGGTACAGGGAGGAGGGGGGTGGTGGTACAGGGGGGAGGAGGTGGAGGGGTGGTAAGGGGGGAGGAGGAGGTACAGGGAGGGGGAGGGGAGGTAAAGGGGGGGGAGGGGTGGTAAGGGGGAGGAGGAGGAGGTAAAAGGAGGAGGGGGGTGTGGTAAGGGGGGGAGGGGTGGTACAGGGGGGGGAGGGGAGGGGGGAAAGGGGGGGGGAGGAGGAGGAGGGGTACAGGGGGGAGGAGGGGGGGCAGGGAGGAGGAGGAGGTGGTGTTACAGGGAGGAGGGGGGAGGGGAAGGGAGGGGGGTGGTGTACAGGAGGAGGAGGGGGGGGGACGGGGGAGGAGGGGGAGGAGGAGGTGGGGTAAGGGGGGAGGAGGTGGTAAGGGGGGGGAGGTGGTAGTGGAGGAGGGGGGGTTTCAGGGAGGAGGAGGAGGTGGTGTCAGGGGGGGGAGGATGGGTTCAGGGGGGGAGGAGGGGTACAGGGGGGGGAGGTGGTACAGGGACTGGTAGGGGCTGGTTTTGTGTGTGTGTGATGTGGGGCAGCAGTTATGAATCTCCTTTTCGCGCACTGTGAGAGGGGAAGGTTTAAAATGGTTTGAAAACAAAAAAGGATGTTCACCGCCATTTGGGGAAGTCTTTGAGCCAAGAAAAAAAAACTATTTCATTCCTGCTTTGCAGTAATGTTTTCTGGATCTGTGTGTGTCAGGTACTTTGTGGAGAGTGCCTTCCCCGAGGTGATCCAGCGTTGCTTAGGACAGTGGATAAGAGAGGTTGTCCCCCGCAGAGGGGAAATATTAAAAAGCTAAACCGAGGTCATTTACAAAGAAAAAGCGGTTTTTTAAATCTAAACCCCCACAAACAGGGGCACACCAACCACACCACACAAAACAGGGCCCACAACCCGGGCCCCAACAAACAAGGGGCCACAGGGGCAACACACACACCAGTACACCCAACCAAAAACACAACAAAAATCAGAGCACGACAACACAACACACACACCCCACAGACACACCAACACACACGACACAAAAACGGCATGATGTTAAAAACCTTACTGATGTAACATCCATCCCTGCCAGATCTCTAAGTCCCTCCAGGACAACGGAGCAGCGGCCTCCACCTCAGCGGCCCCTGAGGGCCAGACTCCAGGAGCCGCCCAGGTACCAGAGGACATATTCAGCTACTACGAACAGATGGACAAGGAGGAAGAGGAGGAGGAGGAGACGCAGACCGTGTCCTTTGAGATCCGACAGGTTTGGTTGTGTGTTTTGGATGCCCTGTGGCCCTTTTTTAATATGAATCGTGGTCTACCGTTTAAAATGCAAACTTGACACCATAACATGTCGATGTGCGGGCATCTCTGAAGTCTTAACAGTACCTATCTGTCCTATTCACTGTTGTTAGCACACACTCACATCTCCTTGAATCCTTCCTTCCTCCCTCCCTCCCTCCCTCCCTCCCTCCCTCCCTCCCTTCCTCCCTCCCTCCAGGAGATGATTGAAGAGCTGCAGAAGAGGTGTATTAACATGGAGTATCCTCTCCTGGCTGAGTATGACTTCCGGAACGACACGGTGAACCCTGACATCAACATGGACCTGAAAGCCACAGCTGTGCTCAGGCCTTACCAGGAGAAGAGCCTCCGCAAGATGTTTGGTAACGGCCGAGCCCGCTCAGGAGTCATCGTACTACCCTGTGGTAAGAGAGGGGGAGGAGGGAGAGAGAGGGGGAGGGGGGGGGAAGAGGTGGTAGGAAGGTGAGATGTTTGGCAACGGAAGAGCTCGTTCCGGAGTCATAGTGATTTGCTTAATTCCTCCTCTCCTCCTTTTGAAAAAGGTCAAAGGTAATCGAGGAGAGGAGGCAAGGAGAGGAAACATGGAAATAAATGTGCTTGTATGAAATGACTCTCCTTGTCCACTAGGGGTCATCAGGCAAATGACCTTTACAGAGGAGGAATCCCCAAATATATGTGGAAAGTGGTAAAATGACATTTAGCTAGTTGTCAGACATTTTATAGATAAAAAGGTTAGTCCGACCAGGAGGCGTTAGTCTGACCAGGAGGACCAGGAGGCGTTAGTCTGACCAGGAGGCGTTAGTCTGACCAGGAGGACCAGGAGGCGTTAGTCTGACCAGGAGGCGTTAGTCCGACCAGGAGGCGTTAGTCCGACCAGGAGGCGTTAGTCTGACCAGGAGGTGTTAGTCTGACCAGGAGGCGTTAGTCTGACCAGGAGGACCAGGAGGCGTTAGTCCGACCAGGAGGACCAGGAGGCGTTAGTCCGACCAGGAGGCCTAAGTCCGACCAGGAGGACCAGGAGGTGTTAGTCCGACCAGGAGGCGTTAGTCCGACCAGGAGGACCAGGAGGCGTTAGTCCGACCAGGAGGCGTTAGTCCGACCAGGAGGACCAGGAGGCGTTAGTCCGACCAGGAGGACCAGGAGGCGTTAGTCCGACCAGGAGGACCAGGAGGCGTTAGTCCGACCAGGAGGACCAGGAGGCGTTAGTCCGACCAGGAGGTGCTAGGAGGGAGAGAGAGGGGGAGGGGGGGGAAGAGGTGGTAGGAAGGTGAGATGTTTGGCAACGGAAGAGCTCGTTCCGGAGTCATAGTGATTTGCTTAATTCCTCCTCTCCTCCTTTTGAAAAAGGTCAAAGGTAATCGAGGAGAGGAGGCAAGGAGAGGAAACATGGAAATAAATGTGCTTGTATCAAATGACTCTCCTTGTCCACTAGGGGTCATCAGGCAAATGACCTTTACAGAGGAGGAATCCCCAAATATATGTGGAAAGTGGTAAAATGACATTTAGCTAGTTGTCAGACATTTTATAGATAAAAAGGTTAGTCCGACCAGGAGGCGTTAGTCTGACCAGGAGGACCAGGAGGCGTTAGTCTGACCAGGAGGCGTTAGTCTGACCAGGAGGTAGTGACCAGGAGGCGTTAGTCGACCAGGAGGGTTAGTCCGACCAGGAGGTGTTAGTACAGACCAGGAGGCGTTAGTCTGACCCGGAGGTGTTAGTCCGAAACCCGGAGGCGTTAGTCCGACCAGGAGGACCAGGAGGCGTTAGTCCGACCAGGAGGACCAGGAGGTGTTAGTCTGACCAGGAGGACCAGGAGGCGTTAGTCTGACCAGGAGGCGTTAGTCTGACCAGGAGGCGTTAGTCCGACCAGGAGGACCAGGAGGCGTTAGTCTGACCAGGAGGACCAGGAGGCGTTAGTCCGACCAGGAGGACCAGGAGGCGTTAGTCCGACCAGGAGGCCTAAGTCCGACCAGGAGGACCAGGAGGTGTTAGTCCGACCAGGAGGCGTTAGTCCGACCAGGAGGACCAGGAGGCGTTAGTCCGACCAGGAGGCGTTAGTCCGACCAGGAGGACCAGGAGGCGTTAGTCCGACCAGGAGGACCAGGAGGCGTTAGTCCGACCAGGAGGACCAGGAGGCGTTAGTCCGACCAGGAGGACCAGGAGGCGTTAGTCCGACCAGGAGGTGCTAGTCCGACCAGGAGGCGCTAGTCTGACCAGGAGGTGTTAGTCTGACCAGGAGGCGTTAGTCTGACCAGGAGGCGTTAGTCCGACCAGGAGGTGTTAGTCTGACCAGGAGGCGTTAGTCTGACCAGGAGGCGCTAGTCCGACCAGGAGGTGCTAGTCCGACCAGGAGGACCAGGAGGTGTTAGTCTGACCAGGAGGTGTTAGTCTGACCAGGAGGTGTTAGTCCGACCAGGAGGTGTTAGTCTGACCAGGAGGACCAGGAGGTGTTAGTCTGACCAGGAGGCGTTAGTCTGACCAGGAGGTGTTAGTCTGACCAGGAGGTGTTAGTCCGACCAGGAGGACCAGGAGGTGTTAGTCTGACCAGGAGGCGTTAGTCTGACCAGGAGGGTGTTAGTCTGACCAGGAGGGTGTTATGTCCGACCAGGAGGACCAGGAGGGGTGTTAGTCTGACCAGGAGGGTGTTAGTCCGACCAGGGGTGTTAGTCTGACCAGGAGGTGTTAGTCCGACCAGGAGGTGTTAGTCTGACCAGGAGGCGTTAGTCCGACCAGGAGGTGTTAGTCTGACCAGGAGGCGTTAGTCTGACCAGGAGGACCAGGAGGTGTTAGTCTGACCAGGAGGTGTTAGTCTGACCAGGAGGTGTTAGTCCGACCAGGAGGTGTTAGTCTGACCAGGAGGTGTTAGTCCGACCAGGAGGTGTTAGTCTGACCAGGAGGACCAGGAGGCGTTAGTCTGACCAGGAGGTGTTAGTCTGACCAGGAGGTGCTAGTCCGACCAGGAGGTGCTAGTCCGACTAGGAGGACCAGGAGGTGTTAGTCTGACCAGGAGGTGTTAGTCCGACCAGGAGGTGCTAGTCCGACCAGGAGGACCAGGAGGTGTTAGTCTGACCAGGAGGTGTTAGTCCGACCAGGAGGACCAGGAGGCGCTAGTCCGACCAGGAGGACCAGGAGGCGCTAGTCAGACCAGGAGGCGTTAGTCCGACCAGGAGGTGCTAGTCCGACCAGAATGGCTAATGACTCCTGGAGAAGGGCCAATGAGTCGTGGAGCTTTGCACAAGGATTAACATGTCTTCTGTGGTTATTCCGGACAGCCTTACAGATTTCTAGAAAGGCTAAATGGCGATCCGTATCAAGTGGCTTTCTCTAAAGCTCTTAGTCACAGAACATGCCTCTCAGAATTCTCAGAAACCCAAAGAGCCTTGGAAAGGTTTTTAATGAGATGTTAAGTACCCTATTTGGGGATTCTGGACCGGTTCCGACTGACGTTTTGGTGTACAAAGCGCTCTGATCGTTGCAGGGTCCTGTGTCTTATAGTGCAAGAGAGCCCCATCTCTCTGCTTTCTGCTCCAACTCTCCCAGCAGAGCTGACTTGAAGTGTCTGGTTTCAGACCACACATTTACATGGGGAGTGACGGACAAAGGAACCATTTCCTGTGTCTGATTTCCTGTGTCCGGGAGAATCTAGCGGGAGCAACAATACATGTTTCATCTCACTGTGATATTCTCAGCCTGATTTTAGAGCTCTCAACATGCAAAAAAAATACTAAATCATTTCATAGAAAGTGGTCTTATTTCAATTCTATTGGTCACAGATGGACGAAATCACTTCGTGCTTACAGCTGAAGTTGAAAACGAGTCTGCACACGTTTTTAATGGTGTCTCTGCGCTGCTCAGCGGACTTTTAGGAGAAAATTGTCTGTCGGCAGTTATATGAAATAGTGCCGATTTATTGTATTGTCACGAAGTATGATCATATTTATCTCATAGTAAGTCATGTATCATATGATTGTTACTGTATTTAAACCATTTGTCATTTCAAGCCATATTGCCCCACTTTTTGTTGAATAGAAAAAAGTAATTATTTTTTAAAATAATATTTGTACTATGTGCTTGAGCTTGTGTCCTCTAAAGGGGGACACCATTTATAACTATTTCTACCATAAAGGGGAGATTTCAACCTTTCTTGGAGTATTGCAACATTACTAGTTATTGTGTCTGGTCCTCTCATGATAAATAACTCTTGGGTTTTTACATTGAAGTCATTTAGCAGACGCTCTTATCCAGAGCCACTTCCAAATTGGGTTTGTCTATTTAGGCGGAAATCTAAATTTTGCCGTAACGTTGAAGGTTTTTTAATCTAGCTACGCTCCTATACTCTGATGAGCAGGTATTGTCAGTTAACACCAGATATGTTCTTTAAAAAAAAAAGTATTGTTGAAGGAAGATACATTTCAGATGGGGATATGTTGTTACCTCAAGGTGTCGTCTGAACCTCGTGTGGTGGCTTTTTTTGATCAAGAGATACGTCAAGACAGAGATATGAAAGATGGGTTTTAATATTGATGTGTAGCGTTATTCACTGAGTGGACAAAACGTGCTCTTTCCATGACTGACCAGGTGAAAGCTATGATCCCTTATTGATGCCACTTGTTAAATCCACTTCAATCAGTGTAGATGAAGGGGAGGAGACGGGGTTAAAGGCTGTTCTGAGGGCAAATGGGGGGGTGCAACTCAATATAGGAAGGTGTTCCTGATGTTTGGTATCTCCTCTCCTCTCCCCCCACCCCACATCTCTCCTCCTCTCCCCCCACCCCCACATCTCTCCTCTCCCCCTACCCCACATCTCTCCTCCTCTCCTCTCCCCCCACCCCACATCTCTCCTCCTCTCCCCCCCACCCCCCATCTCTCCTCCTCTCCCCAGGTGCGGGGAAGTCTCTAGTAGGGGTAACCGCAGCCTGTACAGTCCGTAAGCGCTGCCTGGTCCTGGGGAACAGCTCTGTGTCAGTAGAACAGTGGAAGGCTCAGTTTAAGATGTGGTCCACCATCGATGACTCTCAGATCTGCCGCTTCACCTCAGACGCCAAAGACAAGGTAAGAGACACAGCAAACACCATTAAGGTTTTAAAATCCCCTTTTCAACTCGGTCTGTGTTTTTGTATAATTATCTCTTTTACTGCTTCTTTTTTTTTTAGCTTTGATTGATTTATTTCAAGTTATTGTTTTAGTTTAAAGTGTGTTGCGGTTTTTAAATGCTCTTGAAATGAAGTTTGTTTTTGTCTTGAAGCCGATTGGCTGCTCGGTGGCCATCAGCACTTACAGCATGTTGGGACATACCACCAAGAGGTCTTGGGAGGCAGAGAGGGTCATGGAGTGGATGAGGTCCCAGGAGTGGGGACTCATCATCCTGGACGAGGTGCACACCATCCCTGGTGAGTCTGTCAGGGGTTTTGGTTAAGTTATGAGAGGTTAGGGTTAGTCTACACCATCCCTGGTGAGTCTGTCAGGGGTTAGGGGTTTTGGTTAAGTTATGAGAGGTTAGGGTTAGTCTACACCATCCCAGGAGTGTCTGTCTATCGTTCTGTGGTTAGGGGTTGGGGTTAAGTTAGGAGGGGTTAGGGATAGGAGGGGTTAGGGATAGGAGGGGTTAGGTTTAGGGACAGGAGGGGTTAGGTTTAGGAGGGGTTAGGTTTAGGGACAAGAGGGGTTAGGTTTAGGAGGGGTTAGGGATAGGGATAGGAGGGGATAGGGATAGGAGGGGTTAGGGATAGGAGGGGTTAGGTTTAGGGACAGGGGGGGTTAGGGATAGGAGGGGTTAGGTTTAGGGACAGGAGGGGTTAGGGTTTAGGGATAGGAGGGGTTAGGTTTAGGGACAGGAGGGGTTAGGTTTAGGAGGGGTTAGGTTTAGGGACAAGAGGGGTTAGGTTTAGGAGGGGTTAGGGATAGGGATAGGAGGGGATAGGGATAGGAGGGGTTAGGGATAGGAGGGGTTAGGTTTAGGGATAGGATGGGGTTAGGTTTAGGGACAGGAGGGGTTAGGTTTAGGAGGGGTTAGGGTTAGGGTTAGGAGGGTTATGCTAATTCGATTTCCGTGCGGGCATCAGCTTTAGGGGGTTAACTGCCGGAGGACCAGAAAGTATTTTCTCTCTTCTGTGATGTTTCCAAAACATTTGTCTAATAACGTGTGCATTGTCTCGCCCCCATCTCTGTAGCCAAGATGTTCCGGCGTGTTCTGACCATTGTCCAGGCCCACTGTAAGCTGGGTCTGACCGCCACGCTGGTCCGAGAGGACGACAAGATCGTTGATCTCAACTTCCTGATCGGGCCCAAGCTGTTCGAGGCTAACTGGATGGAGCTACAGAACAACGGATACATCGCTAAGGTCCAGTGTGCCGAGGTTAGTCTGTCATCCATACCGGTACCGGAACTGTGTGGGGCTTAACCTGGTGATGGGCAGGTCAGAATATACCTATATAATAGGATACCTCAAGGTCTAGTCTCGGAAGCCCAGACCCTAGGCAGCAGTAGCGACCAGGGTCTGCGAATGATTTCTGACTCTCTTGGTAACTTCGAACAGGGGACACCAGGCAGACGTGCGAGGACGTCGCGATTCAAAACCCAAGTTCGCACGCTAAACCTTCCCGTTTTTGGTTTTTGGTGAAGTTAGTTGATGCAAACTAGCCACTTGCAAAATGCACGCTTAAGATAAGTAGCCTTGCATGATCTTTGGCTTGTGAACGGCTCATAGGAGCTCCTGTTTCTGTAGTGAGACAGCTTGATGTACCAGTACACCCCCTGGACAGGACACTATTCTATCTCCTGTTTCTGTAGTGAGACAGCTTGATGTACAGGACACCCCCTGGACAGGACACTAGTCTATCTCCTGTTTCTGTAGTGAGACAGCTTGATGTACAGTACACCCCCTGGACAGGACACTAGTCTATCTCCTGTTTCTGTAGTGAGACAGCTTGATGTACAGGACACCCCCTGGACAGGACACTAGTCTATCTCCTGTTTCTGTAGTGAGACAGCTTGATGTACCAGGACACCCCCTGGACAGGACACTAGTTTATCGCAGGGCCTTACCCCCAATCTATTTCATTAATGCTGAGTGTCGAGCGGAGACGCACTCGGTCCCATTTTCACAGTCTTTGTTCTCTGATGACGCTGTTTTATAGTTCAGCTACAGAGTAGAGGAATGGGTTTAAACTGTGGAGCTGTTTTATAGTTCAGCTACAGAGCAGAGGAATGGGTTTAAACTGTGGAGCTGTTTTATAGTTCAGCTACAGAGTAGAGGAACGGGGTTTAAACTGTGGAGCTGTTTTATAGTTCAGCTACAGAGCAGAGGAACGGGTTTAAACTGTGGAGCTGTTTTATAGTTCAGCTACAGAGTAGAGGAACGGGTTTAAACTGTGGAGCTGTTTTATAGTTCAGCTACAGAGTAGAGGAATGGGTTTAAACTGTGGAGCTGTTTTATAGTTCAGCTACAGAGTAGAGGAATGGGTTTAAACTGTGGAGCTGTTTTATAGTTCAGCTACAGAGCAGAGGAACGGGTTTTAAACTGTGGAGCTGTTTTATAGTTCAGCTACAGAGTAGAGGAACGGGTTTTTAAACTGTGGAGCTGTTTTATAGTTCAGCTACAGAGTAGAGGAATGGGTTTAAACTGTGGAGCTGTTTTATAGTTCAGCTACAGAGTAGAGGAATGGGTTTAAACTGTGGAGCTGTTTTATAGTTCAGCTACAGAGTAGAGGAATGGGTTTAAACTGTGGAGCTGTTTTATAGTTCAGCTACAGAGCAGAGGAATGGGTTTAAACTGTGGAGCTGTTTTATAGTTCAGCTACAGAGTAGAGGAATGGGTTTAAACTGTGGAGCTGTTTTATAGTTCAGCTACAGAGTAGAGGAATGGGTTTAAACTGTGGAGCTGTTTTATAGTTCAGCTACAGAGTAGAGGAATGGGTTTAAACTGTGGAGCTCTTGAATATTACAGAGAGTAAAGTCACTAGCGTGCCCATGTCACTAATGTGGCTGAAATGATTAGAAGGGTTTTTCGGGGACGGAGCTGTAGAGCACATTGTGGATAAGCCCCATCTTGATCTAGGACGTGTTAGGTCTTTCCATCTTAAACCTTGTTAGATCATCAAAATGAGAGGGGCTGAAGTAATCAGGATTTACTGTACGTGAGCTCGAGAATAATCCAGACTTTCTTTTTCTGAGAACTTCTGAAGCTTATTCTTCACGACCTGGTGTGAACCGCTACACCATAAGGTATAGTGGTAATCACCTGCCTGCCTGTCGGTGGCTGTAGTGTTTCCTAGACCAGAAACTTTTACCTTTTGGTTAACCTTGAGACACACTCTCCTTTTTCACCTGATTTACTGAACGAAAGTCACATCTCAATAGGAGATCCTGGTATGATCTGACATTTACATATTTTACATTTTTTGTCATTTTAGCAGACGCTCTTATCCAGAGCGACTTACAGGAGCAATCTCATGGTTTAAACAGTAGGATGAACAGGGCTCGTAGTTTCAACAGTAGGATGAACAGGGCTCGTAGTTTCAACAGTAGGATGAACAGGGCTCGTAGTTTCAACAGTAGGATGAACAGGGCTCGTAGTTTCAACAGTAGGATGAACAGGGCTCGTAGTTTAAACAGTAGGATGAACAGGGCTCGTCGTCTTTTTTAAACAGTAGGATGAACAGGGCTCGTAGTTTCAACAGTAGGATGAACAGGGCTCGTAGTTTCAACAGTAGGATGAACAGGGCTCGTAGTTTCAACAGTAGGATGAACAGGGCTCGTCGTCTTTTTTAAACAGTAGGATGAACAGGGCTCGTAGTTTCAACAGTAGGATGAACAGGGCTCGTAGTTTCAACAGTAGGATGAACAGGACTCGTAGTTTCAACAGTAGGATGAACAGGGCTCGTAGTTTCAACAGTAGGATGAACGGGGCTCGTAGTTTCAACAGTAGGATGAACAGGGCTCGTAGTTTCAACAGTAGGATGAACTGGGCTCGTAGTTTCAACAGTAGGATGAACAGGGCTCGTAGTTTCAACAGTAGGATGAACAGGGCTCGTAGTTTCAACAGTAGGATGAACA